TAACAATATGCAAACACTAACCATTTCTCATACATTACAAATTGAAATAATCCACAACTGTATTTACAAAATTTAAACAATTGCTAAACGAGGTTTGCTAAATTGTATAGAGTTGAGCAATTATTTAAATTTAATTTTTTTATTTAACTTTTTTAATTCTCCATTTGCTTAAAACTTTATAAAAGTTATATTGTTATTGGTCATGTAAATAGATTTTTTGACAAAATATTAGTATTTTTTATAAGTTTGTGGAAGATCAAATTTATAATTTAACTTGTAAAGCTCAAGCTATACCTATTTATTCATTCAGTAAATCTGGTGTTATCTTAATGTGCATAATATGGATGTATACTAAAATCGATACAACCTGAAACCTACCGAAAATAATTACTTTAAACTGAGATATTAAATATGTGCAGATTTTAGGTAATTTTTATATGAGTCGTGTCCTATTTGCGTTCGCTTCGTTAAAATATGTAATCTATTTGATAAAACATTTCTGAAAAAAGTTGGAGTTTTGATAAACAATTGTAAGAGTGTTTGATTATGAAATTGAAGAAAAATAATTTTTAAACTTCAACTGCGATTGAAAGTCGTTTGATAAAATGCCTCAGAGAACTTAATAAACAACGGAAGTAAAGACGGGAAACAGGAACTAACAAGTGTAATTGGATGTTACGTTCCGTGCCTTCTTGTTCTTCAGTCATGGCTGACGTGTTCAAAAACTGTTATCGTTTAGTTATGTAACAAATAGGTACAACATGAGTAAACTGGGCATTAACTAAAACGAAACATGTACATGTTATGGTGTATGAATAAGGGTTTACTCAACTAATTCTTGTTCAACCTTTTACAAGAATTTGCTTATTTATTCAAGTTAAAACAAAAAATATCGTCTATTTACATGAAAAGTCTTTATTGTAATATAGTTGTCAGCTTTAGTCCACGATTTAGTATGAAATTCGTATTAAAATATCGTTGCTAAAATTTTACCCAAAAAACATTTTTGTTATAAAATATATCTATATAAATAAAATTACAGTTTTCATAAATGTAATAAACCGCTTTTGTAATAAGACTCTTAGATACAATTGCATAGCCCCAATGGTGTAAACATAATATGTTGTACTATCGGCTCTATGAATTATAAATTTATAGGCAACAATTTATAATAACTTGGTTTTTTGTTAGCTCTAATTACTCAATAAACGATCTTTTAACATTATACATAGTACGTTTTATTGATAGATATTAGAAAAAAATAAAAACTGTGATTTAATTTTACTTATGCTAAATTATTCAATTATTCCATGATCATCCAAAAATAGATAAATAAGCTCTTAATTCACAGTTTACATGAATAAATTTCTTAGATGGAAGCACACAAACTGCCAAGTTCCACTATTTTACAGCTAACACCTAAAAGTGTCCTGAGGGCTATGCGATAGAATGATTTATGTAAATCTTTTCTCAAAGATAAATAATGTGTACAAATCTATCGCTGTAAAGTGATTAGGTACATATTAATTTCACGGATACATTATTTATGCGAATACAGTTTGAATATACGAACGTAGTTTGAACATTTGAAGTACAGAAATAAAAATTGAACTGATTTAACCTTATGAAATGTTAGCTGTAACCTGTGGTATTATTATTTATTGTGCAGGAGTAGGGCTGCATAAGATGTACAAATCTTTAAGGATTAGGCATATATTGAACAAACAAATAAATTTACTTACGATAGGCAATAAAAAAATTGTCAAAATTAAATAACTGTTTAGATATGTTTTTTAAAATAAACTAATATTTACATTTTATATGGACAATTTGTTCTATCGAACACTGTAATATTAATTCAATAAAGCTGGTAATAATCAACGCTAACAATTTTTTAATCAAAATAGAACTAATTTCTAAACAATTCATCACTACAAGAAACTAGCCAACTCCAAAAAATTTTTGCAATGTTAAAAAAAAAAATATGAAAAACTACGACTTATTAACGGTAGTCTTGTATTTAAAGTTGGTATACAAAAATGTGCTAACTACACCAACCTACCCAATTCATAAAATAAGAATTTAAACAAGAATTTAAACAAATTATATCAATTAAAATATAATTTGTCCTGGAGCGCAAAGTAGATTCAGGTCGAGCAACGATTTTCTGCTCACGTACAAAAGCTCTCAGTAGTTACAGCCGGGTTAACAAGGTACAATGCAAGTGTTCAAGCAACAACGGTAATTACGTCATATTGTTACCTGTTGCTTTCACAATTACCAAGAGTTTTTTTACAAATCTCCAGTAATTACTGAAGTGATTTAAATCCGTAAGAGTAAATAAATACATATATTAATAAATAAAAATACGTACAAATTGAACTATTGAAAACTTTTTGGAATTATATTTTTGGATGAGGGGTTATTTTAAACAAAACTGAAATATGTCATATCTACTCAAATATGCTACGTAACAAATATGCTTACCAACCTGTATGTTGGTATACCTGTTCATTGTCAGCTGAATTGCTTTGCCCCATTGTTGTCTACAACAACTTATTACTACTTTACTCTTATTAGGATTTTATTTTTTACAAGACCAAACATGGCGCTTTCACAAACTCCAATGATTATGTATCGTAGTAATATATTAAACGCAAATCATTGGCTTAAAACTAATATTCCATCCAAATATGGCTAATAAATTATATTTGAAATTCCAATCTTTAACCCAACGTGTGTATCCACAAATATATTTTTGAGGTGAGCATTTTCTATATAAAAGGTAAATAATGGATTAAATCTAAAGAAGGGGGTAAACTACCTCAATCCGATCGTGTTATTAATGGAGCCGATTTCTGCCAATCCACTTCAACCCCCTTTACGTAATTTTTCAGCCTTTTTTAAATTCAACATTTTATCTTTATCCAAAAACCGTTTCAACCCAGTCCTTTGGCGAATACACAGTAGTAGTTCAAATTATCAATATATAGATTTGGTGATTTTTTGGAGCCGTAGTTTTGTTTTATGTTTAGACTCAGCGCAACATTTTGTCAAAACATCAAGTCTTACTCTTTTATGATATAAACATAATCATCCAATATCAAATTGTACTAGATTTTTACGCATCAGGAACAATTTATAAGTGTGACATTTTTTACTTATTTCAAAATTCAATTGAGTAGGCCGCAATAATATTTTGTTTTAAGATACTTCATATTTAATATTAAAGTAAATATAACTTTTTGACTAGTCGTTTGCAATACGGAGGAATAAAAAACTAATTTTATATTTATTCATCGATGAGCTAAAAATAGGCTATATTTAAGCATACCCCTGTAAAATACATTTATTAATTACATTTCAGTGGAACTGCCCATGAAAAATAATCAAGGCATGTAGCACAAATATATTTACCATAACCGTTATTAATTCGATATTGTTTTGTAGGCTACGAGTATACGTAAACCTACATAAAACGATCTATTTAAATCATAAATTATCATAGCGGTATGTTGGTTTCAGGAAAGTGTAATGGTTTCTGCGACTCTTTATTATTTCAATATTTCGTCTTATTTTGGCTTTCTAATAAATATAATATTTCTATTATTGGAATTTATTAAAATTGTCCTACCATCTTTTATTGTATATTGAATAACCGTTCCAACTTCGAAATTGTTATCACTTACAAAATACAGTTCTAAACGATATTTGGACAAGAACCATACATTCTACAAGAAACATTTTCATCTGAATCTACTGCTGGAAATGTTATCGGAGGCTGAAAATGAATTCATCCCACGTTGCGCCAGGGGCTGCAGTTCTTTTGCTGATTATTTGTTCCTTATCTTTCACCCCCAAGCAACCGACAAGAGAAATGTTCAAAGTGGAGCTTATAGTTTGTCCAAAGTAAGATAAGGAAATGACCTAGAAATATATCGATAAGATTGAACTTCGTTTACGAAAAATGTCAGTTACTTGAAAATCCAGCAATCAATACACAGCGATTTTCTAAATTAACATTAAAAATTTGTTTAACACAGCTGCATAGCTGTTAAATATGGTACAGTATTATATTTCTAGTTGTTTTGTTTCGAATGTATCTTAAACGGGTTAGCCGTAGATATATATTCATCAGAACAAACTGAGTCAATCCGAAATCATACCTACCCGTATGATTTTCAAAAAGACAAATTCTAAAGTAACTATGGATTTATTTGGTTTTAAGGTATGCAATAATATAACGATGTACAGTAAAATTCCTTTCTCGCAGATGAACATGGAATGAAACGAATTAGTCCTAGGTTTTTATATGATTCAGCTGTGTTGAAACGACAATGGAAGTTTTTCCAGGAAGTTAACTAAATTATTATGTCATAAACAATACCAAAACCAAATCTTGCAGTCTGTTAGTTTACATTTTCATAATTAGTATCGTATTACATGGTTTCACATTAATTACTATAATTGCATTATTTATGATTAAAAAAATTTAATTTAATTTTCGATTCCAAGATACAAATTATTAGGAAAAATATCTGACTGCATTAAAAAACCTTTTTTTCGGAGAAAACTTTATTTAGTACTATAGACTCTTTTAGTTATTTTATTTGTATTAAAATGCTATCCAAACCTAAACGTAGAAAGATAAATTTACACTTTTCTCAACATGGAAAGTTTGGAAAGTCATCGGCAATGTGTTGGCTAGGTTCATAATCTACATTTGCATGAATTTAGCCGAGTAGACAGAACATTTCCCCGTGTGCTACTGAGCAAATTGGCTGAACTTCTATAACAGTGACACTGCAGACGATGGGTAACTAAACTACATTTAGTAGAGTACAGTCCATACTAAAGTTTCTGGCACCAAAGTTTAGCCATACATTATAGTGCGTTGTCTATAAACTACTTACATTACACCGAAAGCTAAACATACAAAAAAGTTTAAAAATCTGAAATAATTGTACCTATATATTTAGTAAGGAAAGTTTGACACTTACAAAAGTAGAATTGGTCATGAGGACACGAACTGTGTTGTTGTGAGCGTTGAATACACTGAGGCCCCCGTGTACATCTCGGAAAACCACCTCGGTATCTGAAACATCAAGGTCATGTCAAGGTCAAATCAAGGGCACAGCAAGGTCAAACTAAATATCACACAAAAAAGTTTCGGATGATAAATAGTGTAATTTTGACTCCCCAAAATTTATCAATCATTTGCTTGCAAAATCTACAGGATGATTTCACACTTGAATTAAATATAAGTATCTCATTGAAGCGAGATCTGCTGTTCAAGTCGGAGATTTACAAGGGTTTTGCCTTATTCTTTGAACAGTGTATTGCGAAAATAAAATGCATAATGCACGAACCCAGGTGGGAACAGTGTAGGACTCACACTCACTTAAACCCTTATGGAACACCGGGATCCCGGCTGGAACCCACTTCGAATGACTTCGTATTTTTACTGAACTTTGAGAAATCTGAAGGTTGTCTAGGAAAACCTCATTTTGCTCGAAATCATACATGAACGTAGGAAGTGACTGCTCCTTTCTCATTCTTGCTTCTAAGCTGAGAGCGAACTGATGTATTTCTTTAACAAAACTTCCGCACTTGAGTTGTGTAAAAAATCACCATCTTCCTCTGGGCAGAACACACAGTGATGATCTTACCTTCCCATCTGGTGAAGGTATTTTCACCACATGTACCCGCCATTTTCACCAGGTATTTTCAAAGTATCCTTGATCCACCGGGAACCACTCGGAAAGAAGTCAACTCTTACGTAAGCGAGTTCAACTACGCTATAAAATCACTGAGTCTTTTGGTTCGGTAAAAAAAATAGGAGTTGCACTAAGTATTTCATTTACAAACACTACTGTCTTACATACATATACATTAGAAACAAATTTATTGATCACTAAACATTTGCATCAATGAGATTATATATTAAACTAGCTGTGTACCCGTTCTACGCACGGGGATCTTATAATATTCAGTTGAAACCTTCTTATATAACGAACAGCAGTTGGTTTGCATATTTTAAGATATGCTGGCCAAACTATTATACATAGCTTCATTTTATGTTGTTTTTTGTTGTTCCGGATCGGTATGACAATCAATAAAAGGTTAAATTACCTCTGTGTCTGCCGGTCGATCCTATAACGGTAGGCTTACTTTTATTTTTACTATCTGATCTCGTTTGCATGGCTCAATCACGTCCTGGTTGAAGTTCGTTCGCTACGCTCACTCACCTGTATGTTGGAGCTCGTTCGCTGCGCTCACTTTCCTTCAGGTTAGCTCGTTCGCTACGCTCACTTGCCTTCAGGTTAGCTCGTTCGCTACGCTCACTCGCCTCCAGGTTGCAAATTAGCTGTTGTCATAAATGTAAAAGAAATAATAGTGCTAGTGCTGCACCCTGTTGGTAATCCTTGTAACTTTAATGCTATTGAACATCACAGAACAGAACCAACTTGTTTAATTGAAACAGCTGTTAAGATTCAATAATTTCATTTCTCATAAGGTTAACATGGGCTTCCAGAAATTCCACGTCAAAAATCGACAAAAACTTGATTTTCAAGGGTTTACTGTTAAATATCTAACTGTCTCATATTCGATGAAATACGTCTAAAACCATCTCATATATGTATAGTATTTGGAAAATAAGTTTCAGGCGGGACAGTGCTATAGTTATTGAGGAGTAGTTGTAATAAAGTGCGTATTTTAGCGTTACCAAGAGAATGACAGATAGACAGACAGACAGACAGACAGACAGAAATTGAGATAAGGTTTGATTCGGTTTCTCTGACCTATGAAATGTAAAAATAACCAAAAAGTTCATTATTCTAAGCAATGTACAGACAAAACTCTAATTTTATTTATATAGATTCGTATACTGTACCGGCACCTAGTTTGCAGTTTGAGCTTGGTTAGAGATTTGGAATTGACATGAGAAAAATAAAGTGCTGTAATAATTAGGTTACAATATCACGACTTACTTTTTACCATCTTCGAGTAACAAAGAAAGTAAGCAAAAGTTTTTAGGGTTCTTAAATTAGTTTCTTCATAGGTGGTACATACATTCGAAACATAGAATACTCCTAGAATAGAACTGTTAGTTAATTTAAAACGAAATTACAAATTACGTATTTGTACATATAATTACATATCAAACGTTGTAAAACAGTAAAAAAAATACATCAACGGAAAGTCTATTTGACAAATCTCGCATTGTTACAGCTGTGGTGACGCGGAAATTGCTTTCCCCCGAACAGTCATTCAACAAGTTAAACACCCGTTGAATGGTCGCTGATTTCCATGAGTCAGAATCAACGGTTGACCGGTTTTGTGGAGAACTTCGCTTGAATGTCAGCGAGCAAACCAAACAATTGACCATTTGTCACCAAAGGCTGTCCTTTGTTTTCGAATCTTTCTTGAAATAACTGTTGCTGGAAATACAATCTCGTATTCATTCGGGCAAAATGTTAGTACAAATTTATCAAAATAATTCTTGCACATGAAACGATTATACACATGGCGAAATATACAAGATGTCAAAACGTAACAGTATATTTCGTACCTAGGGCCGAAAATGAGGTTTTGCCGACTCGAGATAGTTAAGTTCGAGACGAAGTTAACACAACTACAACTTTAAGGTTATGTGAATAAATAATTTGAGGAATCAGCAAAAATAATAATAAATAGTTGCTAGGCAGCGGTAAAAAAAATTCAATTGCAATTCTATGTATACTGATTGTGTATTTAATGTGCATTCATGTTATAAGAAAGTAAGCGGGCAGCGGCCCTAGGAATGTAAAAACCTACTCGGTCCCCAAATGACGATGTCAGCTAGCATGGCCAGCAAAACGTAGCCTTTAGCCACCAATTAACATATATAAAAAAGCTAAAAACATTATTGTGTGGTGAAAAATTATCTATAGTCTTATTATTTAAGTAAACAAAAGTATTTATTTTTTTATTTTTACTCGAAACTTGTACATGATAAAAAATGTATGATTACCACAGTAATAACAAACAATACTGTATACAAGTTTTTATTTAGTTTTTCTAATCCAATTTTCCATTCTTGCATTTAAATCAGGGGTTTTACAACCATATTCACTACAATTGATATCCTCTGAGTATGACAGTAAAGGAAAAACACATGTCATGACAAGTAGTCCTGTGATGATCATTTATCATCGGAAACTACAATGTTTGAGGAATAAAAGAGACACGAGTTGAAACATGTTTCATACTGTCTAACCTAATGCATCCTCTTTTCTAACACTATAAACCTCTTTGCTACTGTACCGCTCTCTACAAGGGTATTTGAGTGAAACTCTTTCGACCTACTGTGATTTAACCATTCGTATTTTATCGCGTTAAAAAAGTTATCTTTACGTTGTCTAGGTAAACACGCCGAAATGTAGCAAAATTCCCCATTTGAGGTCCAAAATAAATTTAGCAATCCAGTGCTTATTTTAGATATGTTTAACATTATTTTATGTATGTTTAACAATATTTTATGTATGTTTAACAATATAATTTTATGTATATACAAAAAATAACGAACGCATTAAAGGAAAAATAAATTCCAATACATCTTCCGCTAACCCACATAAAGTGTTTCAGATTGTAATTCACATTTGAATCTATTTTTACAATTGACTACAGTCAGTGATTGACTGATTGTACGAACAAAAGCGAAACGAAAAGAACAAAACTAACATTGATTCGGTGAATGAAGAATGACTTTCAAACTTTTGTCTGCCCCTTTTTGTGTGATGTGGGTCCAGTAAAGGACGCACCACTGACCAATTTGACAGGCAAACGATTTCGACATTTTATGTGTAAGATTTATTTATCACTGCACCAATGCTGTGTTTCTAATGTTTATATGGTGAAATAGCGTTTTTCTTCACGTAATGTTGTTTAATTCAATGAAAAATTTCATTTTAATTTGGTTCATTTGGTTTTATTCTAGCTTGCAGAATGCATGAAAATTTTTTAGTATTTAATAGCTTTCAAACTCACGTGAATAGCGTAGTTCATTAAATCATTCAGTGAAAGTATAAAATATCGTTCTGTCCTTTAAGCTAATTATTTGTGACGGTTAGTTTATATCATTTGAGGGATTATTACAACTTTTTTTACGATTAGTAAAGAAACTAAGTTTCAATGATGTTTCAGTATCTCTAATCTGATCACATGTAGATCTCCATCGCTCTTATTTGAGTCCATTATTGTTGCAGACGGATTCCTTGTGTTTGCCAACTATCTATTTTAATAATGGTTGTTTTCGCAAAAATTGTTGTTTCTCGTTTTAAATACTAAAATACTGTAAATTCTCTGTGTGGTTTTAAGCCTGTATGTTTTTTCAGATTGTAGCGTTTCAAAATGAAGCTTTTGCAAATGAATATGGATGGATCATCGTGAAAAAATATGGCAATGTTTACGTTTGTTCACGTACATTGGCTTGCTTTCATTTTAAAAACTGTATTAAAATATTCCAACTCATACCTGAATAAATTTAACCTTCAATAATAAAAAAAACATTATTGTTCTTGTTCAGTTACTAAACAATTGAATAGTTGGGCAACTGTTTTAACTTTTTAATAGTTGATTTAAGAAATCGAACTATTTTATTATTATTACTAGGTAAAAACCATAAATAATCAGCTGCAGTTTAGTTAATTATTAGAGAACGCTTAGTCAAATAAATAATGTTTAAATCCCACAAAAGTAATGCAATTAATCGTAAAAATTAACTTAGAAAGACAATCAAATTAGATATGCAAATCAGAACCATATTCAATACATACACAAATAGAATCGTGGATACGTATAAATTGTATTGGAGTCGAACAGTTAAAATACAAGTTGTCAGTAATGTTGAAGCCGATTAAGTGATATTTGATGAAACATGGCAAATGCATTTAATGGATTTAGTTTATACAAAACATTTTGTATTTGCTATCGTCATTGTTTTGAAATCGTATTTGTCAATTGAAAACAATGTGTGAAGGGCATTAAGTAGTGTTTTAGTTTTTAACTTTTAGCGAGAGAGGATAAAAATATGTAAGCATTCAAACAAAAAAA